CCCCCCTGGGAGAGCCCCTGCAGGCCTGCCCGGCCCTATCGAAGCTGCGTCTGTCTCGGTGGTGTGGCAGATGCAGTCAAAAAGGAGCCGAGAGAGAGCGGTTTTCCTCGACGGTCGCCGCGCAGTTTGAGTCTCCGTAACTGTCCGGCAACATTTCGGGAAAATACATGTCCCGGGGAGGCCTGGGGGGCTGCCGAGCTGAGGGCGAGGGTCTGGGCACCCCTGGGCCCTGGCTGTGGGCCCAGGTGGTGTCGGGGTGCTGTCACTAGAAGAAAGCAGCTACCCCGACAGCCTGTGTCTGGGGTCTTAACTGGTGCACGGCGAGGTGGGAGGTGGTGGGCATCGCAGCTTCCCTGCTGTTTTAGCATAACATACCTTTTCTGTCTTAGGAACCTACCTGAAGCCCACGACTGTAACCCTTCCCCAGTAGCATCCTGGCGTGGAAGGTGATCCCAGTGCGATGCCTGGTGACGGCAGTGTTGGGCAGGTGAGATGTGTGATTCGGGCTCTGGAGTCTCCCCTTATGCTGGGAATTTGGTTACTGTCACGGCCTGCCTTGGCTGGAGCAGCAAGCAGTGGTATGGCCTGGCCCTCTGATAGCAGATACTCCCAGTGTGGTCCTTGTTCCCAATGCTGTGGGTCCTCTGCAGGGCTTGTGCTTGGGATTGGGCCCCGCAGATGAGGATTTCCCACTGGCAGGGCCTGTCGCAGGTATCTCCAGCCATTAAGAACTGCAGAATCTCCTTCTTGCTCTGCCAAGATCATGCGTGAGTGGGATAAGGGAGCTTTCTCTCTCCACCATCACTGGGCCTGGCTAGTGGCAGAACTGGGAATCAGATCTGATCCAAAGCCAGTAGATCGCTTGGCTTTCACTCCACCTGCCGCTCTGGAGCTGTAGCAGACTTTGCCAGCCGAGGTCAGCGATGACTGCATGTTTATCCAAGAGCTGTGGTTCCATGCAATAGCTACAGGTCTCCAACAACATGCAAGAGCAATGGGAAGGTCTTTGACTGCTGGGCCTCTTTTGCCTGTTGCTGTCACTCGCCCCTCCTATATATTTTCAGGAATTAGGCTGTTCTTGCAGGGTGCTGCTGGCTTCTGGGGGGAGGGGGTGCATGTCAGTGATGGTGTACTCGGGAGTCTGCAGCCTGCTGCTGACCTTGGGGGTGTTTGCAGTGTGTTCCAGGGTTGCTTGATGTGTTGGAACCCTCAGCCGATGGCCTGCCTGCCAGATAAACCCGAGGTGAGAACGCACGCCCTTGACGGAGCTCCGTAACCTCTCCCTCCAGATCCCTTTCCCATCAGATCTGAATACCGATCTTGTGGTCGAAAAAGGAGGAAAAATAAAATTCAAACTGGTCTCGGCCTCTTTGCTGGTGCAGTCCTGCTCTGAGAGGGGCCAGTTCGAAGACAAGTCTGTGTGGGCCTTGCTCCTTCGGGCAGGCTGGGCTGGGAGTGAAACCCCCTCCCTGGTCAAGAGGAGGGAGAAATGTTGGGTGTGGAGGGCAGAAGGTGCCATGAAGATTTGCGGGCTGGTGTTTGCTTGGGCTGGATCCCATGCATTGATTCCTCGGGTGCAGCAGCCCATTGACCTCAGCTGCTTACCTGGGGCTCTGAGTTTGGTCTTTTGGGTTTTTTTCAGGAATGACTTGCTTAGCAGAAAAGGCCGAGCGCTTCATGAGCCCCCGTCCCCGGTGAAGGGATTCGGTTTGCTTTCCTTGGGGCCTGAATCGTGGGGAAGCTGCAACGTGGAGCACGTGAGTGTCCTCTGTGGGTGTTCGGTGTTTCGTGAGTGGGACCTCGCCGCTCCTCAAGGACGAAGGACGGTTCAAGCAGACTGTGCCTGTGCTGGAAATGGCTAGTCCTTAATCTGGGTGTTACAGGTGGGGATGAGCGACTTGGTTAGTAAGGTTTTTAACTGGGCAGGCTGTTGTCTGTGCTGCAAGGTGTCCGTGGGATCAGTCGCACCACGCCAGCCCTCTGAGCACAGCCTGGTCCGTGATGACTCCTTTCTTTGGAGACTGTTGGATGAATCCTGCGGATATGGGGCTGAGGCCAGGCATGAACCAGCCAAAATCACCACATGGTGTGGGGAGAGGGAACGCCAGGGAATTCCTTAACACAGGTGAAATCTGAAGCGATGCCGAGTCAAACTGCTGGGTTATTTTTTATCTCCTCTTTAGGTCCAAGTAGAGCGGGGAGCTGAGGTGAGCCAGTCCCTGAGGGTTCCGGTGCTGCAAGTGCAAGACTTCGGCCTTTCCCAGCCCTGTCCTCCAAAGCGGGAGCTCTGCCTAACCAGATCCCAGCTCCTTCCTGAGCCATGAGCTCCCTCAGGTGGGAGCAGCCGCCCCTGCGCTCCGCTCGCCCCCACCATGGTGGGGGGGAACTTGTTTGGCTCTGGGTGCTGCTCAAGCTCCCATTTAAACACTTGGCATGGAAGAACAGCCCCTTCCGTGGAGTTTCCTCAGAAGAGCTTGAGGGAGGGTCTGGATATAAAATATTTTGAGGGTGAATAAACGCAATCACTTGAAATTCTTGCTGTGTCTCCTGGGTTGGGGTTGGGGTGCTGCCTGGCTGCCCTTGCCCCACCACATCCCCCTGGGTGCTGTGGGTGAGGCTGAACTTGTGAGATCGGAGAAGCTTATTCACCCAAGGTTACCAGTCCTTCAAGGTGAGGTTCTGTCGGTTCACCTGTGGGCTGGATCTCCAGACAGCTGCTGCGTGGCTGGGACCTGCTCTTGGATGTACTATTTTTTTTTTTTTTTATTTTCTCCTGGAAAACAGTGCAAGTCAGTGCTCCTAACACTGAGCTACCAGAGCTGCATAACCAGGAGCCAGTCCTTCCCTTCCTGCTGGAGCTCCCCAGCGCGTCCCCTGCTGCTGGGGAAGCCAAGGTGTGTGGAGCAGCTCCCACCCGGGGAATGGCAGCGTCTCCAGCATCCTCAGCTGGAGCCCTGGTGACTGGAGTTGCCCATTTTCTCACGATGGAGAACAAATTGGGGGTGGGAACAGCCCCAGCCCAGCCAGGCTGTTCCTCCCCTTCTCTATGTGGCTGCAGGGGGGCCCGGGCTGTTTGCAGAGAGCGCTTTGTCCGGGGAACACGGGGCTGGTGCCTCTGACCCCTCTTCCCTTCTCCCCATGAGGGGGGACTCCCCTTTCCCCCAGAGCTCATCCCTCCCACCTCTCCCAGGATTTTTGGCTTCCTCAGGGGCACCAGCCCTACTGCGGCAGCGCGTTCCGTACACCCAGAGCCCAGCTGGGGCCCTGCTTTGTCACCAAATCCAGGCAGCAGGACAGAGCTGGCATGTGACAATGCCAAATGGTGTCCTGGGGACGAGAGGGCGAGGACGGAGCCACTGGTGGCTTCTCCCCCCTCCCCGGGAGGGTTTGTTTGTCCGCCCGGGTGACTGGGAGGCCAGAGCTGTCCCTGTCCCTGGGGAAGACACTGCGGGGTGGGGACAAGGGAGGAGACCTGGCCCTGCCAGCACAGCAAAGCCCAGCCAGGTCAGGATCTGGCCAGCCTGGGGATGGTGGATCTGGCCTTGCCAGGCACGGCTGCTGGCATGGGGACAGTGACAGGTCCCCCCCAGGACCCCGACCCCAGGGGACACTACCAGTTCCGCATCATCGTGCTGGGGGACGCGGCCGTGGGGAGGTGAGGTGGGGACAGGGACACAGCCCCCACGCGGGACCCCAGCACCCAACTGACTCGTCCCCCCCACCCTGGGTGGCTGTAATGTCCCTGGCTGGGCGTGCGGGGACAGGCAGTGACAGCTCACTGGGACGGTGACGCTTTAGGGGCCACTGCAACTTCATGCTGAGGTTCCAGCGAAGCCAGAGCTGGTTTTGGGGGGCAGACAAGGGAGCAGGGCTGGGTGCTGGTCCTGGGGTGCAGGTCCAGTTCTGGGGTGCCGATGGGCCGGGTGATTTCCTTCCTGAGTGCATCAGGCTGGAGCCGGGAGCGTGAAAGAGGCTCAAATGGGGTGCTAAGGGCTGAGGAGCCGGGTGCTGTGGCTGGAGCGAGGAGTCCCACGCAGCTCCCATCCCTGGGAGCCTTTTGGGGACCACGGGGTTGGTCTGGGGGTGCCCTGTTTCTGCCCAATGCTCAGCCCCATCAGCACCCACCCCTGGGCTGGGGGGGGGATGGGGGGACCCCCGAGCCCCTGCAAAACCCCGCAGGACTCTGGACCCCCCCCGTTGGGGGGCATGGGGGTGCTGAACAGAAAATTGGGGTGCAGATGGTGCAGGCAGGTCTCCCCTTCCTGCTCCCAAGGTCCCAGCTGGGACCCAACAATCCCCCAAGCCCCAAGGGAAATGGGTGCAGGGGCCCGTGGATGCTGGGGTGCCCCCCAAAACCCCTATCCCCCCGGTGTGCCCAGGTCCATCACCAGGTCCTTCTACCGGAGCGCAGCGGGGGTGCTGCTGGTGTTCGACCTCACCAACCGGGCGTCCTTCGAGCACGTCCCCGAGTGGTACCGCGAAGCTGCCGGGGACCGGCCCCCCGCCTTCGTCCTGGTGGGACACAAGTGTGACCTGGCGGATGTGTGGGGCTGCGTCCCCACCCTGGCTCGGGTTTATTTCAAGACTTAATTTGGGGGCTCTGGAAAAATAATACCCCCCCCCCGCAAGAGTGTTTTTAATAAACTTGAGGCTTTTCTGCACTAAATAAAGTCTGGGCTGAGTGCCGGACCCTGGCAGGGGCACGCTGCTGTGCTCAACCCGTGACATGCGGGATGCTCTGCTTTGGGGGGGTAACAGCCCCCCTCCACATCTGCACGTGGCCGTGTCACTTGATGGGTCTTGTGTCCTAGGCCCACGCTCCCCCCCCCAGGAAAATGGGACCAGGCACCCTCACCCTGAGTGCTCCCAGCTGGGATAAAGGGAGCGAAGGGGCTCCGAAGGGCCCACCCAGCACCCATGGCAGGGCGGGAACGCCTCCGGGGTGGAGGAGTGGAGGCGCCCGGCGTTGCCTGCCTGTACATGCGCCCGGCGCGGGGGCGGTGGGTCCCGGCAGACGGCGGGGGGGGCGATGGCGGCCCCG